ATACCCAGGACTGACAGCTTAGCAGAGTCTATTTCCCTGGTTTCTTCCTTTCCTAGATCTTTACTTAGGTCTTCTTCTGGCCCCCATGCAGGGTTTTAGTCTTTCTCTTCCACTGAGTCATCGTTGAACTTTCAGACTGATAATCTCATCTCTTCTAGCCCTGATGGAAAATGTGACAGGCATCCATAAAATGCATAAGTTACAAGTTAGTCTTCACTAATATAAAACTTTTCCTTTAGAAAAGTCATCATGAATGAATGAGAAGGTTTTCCACAGAGTAGGAGAAATTATTTTCCAAACACATGTCGTATAAAGTGCTACAATGGTAACATACAAAGTAAAGTCCTCAGTGTTATGAAATAAACTCAGTTAACAAAATGACACAGAGCCAAGGGACTCTTAATCAGAGAGGATATATAGATGATAAATAAACACATGAGAAGTTGTACAAATTTTTAAGTCATAAAGGAATTTCAATTTAAAACAATAGCATGATACACTTACACACTTATTTGAATGACCCAAATCCAAAATACTGACAACAGGAAATTCTGGTTGTGGTTTGGGACTTTTTAAGGCTCTCTGAGGATGCCACCAAGAGGTGGACTCTGGAAGCGTCCCCTGTATACAAGAGAATAGGACCAGAGAGACTTTCCTTTTCACCCAAAAAGGTTACCTGGGACATTGTGGCCGTTCTCATAAGCATGCAGCATACCTGTCAATCTAATCCTAAGCATTAAGATTATGGTCACTGACACTGTTTATGAGTGGGGACAAAGCTGATATAGCCAATCCAGGTCCCAAGTGATCTAGGCATCTGGCCCTTATGCAAAAATAGTGTTTGTAAATTGCTGATTGAGAAACTAAAATGATAAATATTAGAATACAGTTTGAAAGTTTATTATAAAACTATACACATTATTATCATGTGATTCAGCAATTGACTTCCTTGGTATTTATGCAAAGAAACTGAATACTTTGACCACATGGAAAACTCCACACACAAATTCAGAGCACCTTTATTTGTAACTGCCCAAATGGGGCAGCCTCCAACACGTCCTGCAATACAGGAATCAATCTGTGCACTGTGGTACACCCAGACAATGGAACAGTGTTCAACAGTAAAAGCAAACGGCCTCTCCAAAGAAGAATGAGGTTTGAGGAAATGTAGATGTATGATGCTAAATGAAAGCGGCAATTTTAAAATCTACACAGCCAATTATCTCTATGACATGGAGGCGAAAGGTGAAACTGTAGAATTTCTGAGACAAGCCGAGTGTGGTGGCATACATCTGTAGTCCCAGCACTCAAGAGGCTGAGGCAGGAGGAACACTGTGAGCTTGAGGCCAATCTGATCTACCTAAATGAGTTCAAAGCCAGTCTGGATTACATGCTCAAACTGTCTCAAGAAAAAAAACAAAACAAAACAAAAACTGACGAGACAAATCAGTGGCTGCCCAGGGATTAGAGAGAAGACAGAGATGAATAGTGGAGGTATAGAATATTTTTAGGGCAGCGAAACCAGTTTGTATGACTCCTTAGTGGCAAATACCTCATTATGCATTTGTGGAAACAGCCTAGTGAACAGCACAAAGAATGGACACTGATATAAACTGTAGACTTGGGTTATAATGACATTGTGTAAATCCAGGTTCATTATTGTACTCAATATATCACTCTGGTGTGGGACATTGTTCTGAAGACGGTTGTGTCTATGTGGGAAAGGACACAAATAGAAACTCTGTACTTTCTGGTTATTTTTCCTGTGAAAGTAAAACAATTCGAATGAACATTCAAGAAAAAAAAAAGCTGTGTATTCTCAGAATCTCTTCTTGGCCTAGAATGTACAGATCAAAGGCAAGGGGCTAGACTGTAGGTTTTTCCTTCTTTTGGTGTTAGGTTATTCCTTTGGTCCTCTCTTAGTCTCCTTAATTTCAGTTCTGTCTGGGTCTGGGCTTGCCTTCTTTCTTGACTTGAGGATCTCACTTTCTAAGGGGCCTACACTCTCTAGGGCACCATAGTAGGAAATGAAGGTGACTTGATCTGGCCATCGCTGACCATGATCTCCCATGAGTGACAACCACTGCAGACAGATTGAAGGCCCTGGAGGAAATGTTCCACTGAGGGTCCTAACTCAGGTTGCTGCATCTGACTCATTACACAGCATAACTTTCTGCTCTCTGAAGAGCTTGGGTCACCAAAATCAGACATGTCCCTCACTTCTCCCATCCTCCTGAGGAAGATATGAGGGTGCTTGTCTGACAGTTACTGCTGAATCCCCCATGTCTAACAGCACGGATAATTCTGTGGGGTTCCACTCACAAGGGATTGATGGTTCTGCATTCCTTAGGATATTGCCCCCCTGTGGGTCTGAGTCTGCACACCTTGGAACAGACTTTTCAACTTCGTGAGGTCTCAGAAGTAGAATTGAGGTTGTGCCACAGCATCGTTTTAGAGAAAAACACACAATTTTCTGAGAAGCCTGAAGAGTAAAGGAGGAAGCCTTTAGACTTACACTTTGCCTGGCATGCTGCACCCCTAGAAGGAACTATCTTTTACCTGGGTCTACCTCTTTGGATAAACACCTGGGTGGAAATTCCACTTTCCTAGCATACAGCTCATCAGTTTCTCTATGCCAAATCTTGCAGAAATCTTCTGAGGAGTAATATTTGGTGAAGATATATAATACAATGCAGAGACCCTCAAGACCGGTATGACTTTAGTGGGAAAATCATGGATTTAGGCTTTCTACTGAAGAACCAGAATTATGCTTATCTATTAATCTTTTTTTCGTGTTCTAAGAGGTATGATAGAAAATAAGCCTAGGATCTTTTGAAATTATCTGGCTTTGAATGTATGGATAATCATGTTGTTACTAAACTTTATGTCTTGCATTCTTTCTCACCTGTCCATCACTTTTATACATTCACTGTTCTGGTTATGATTTGTAATCTAGAAGATTGATCATTGAGTTCTGTTTTCTTATTGTATAAGGATGTGTTTATAGTAATTATTTTTCTTTGGGGAATGACTGTAAGACCAAGAGCACATCTTAAAGTTTTCTTATGTTTGTCTGCCTATTCTGATCTGTCACTTCATAAACGCAAGTCCCAGTCTCCAAAATAGAACGCTTCTCTTCATCACCTGGGATCTTTTGGGAAGTAGTGTTAAGACAGGTGAGTTAAGGGACACAAAGCCAACTTCAGGCTGGAGGCATGGGAACAGCAAAGCCTTCACACTAATTCATAATCAGGGTCTTCTCCCGGGCCCATCACTTAGTAGCTGACTCCAACTGGGTCTGTTACCATGCTCTATGAGGTGCAGCTTTTCATGCGTGAAGTTGGTTTCCTAAAACATGTAAAGAGTGATCACATGTGTTCAGTGTATACAAAATGCCTGTAATACTTACAAAGTGCCAGGTTCTAATCACGCTTAATTTGATGCTGCAAACTGCTACAAGAAGATGGCATTGTTGATTTTGGGATGTTTCAGACATTTTGGTACATTTGAGGAGCAGGAGAACCTCATCAGATAAAGTGCTGCTTAGCAAGGGAAACTAAGAAATCATGCCCACTGTGGGCTAAGTCACTGTGCCAGAACGAGTGAGATTTCCTCAGTACATGCAGAGTGCAAAAGATCTGTAAGAGCCGGGCATGGTGGCACAGCACCCTGGAGGCTGAGGTTGGGGGATCCTGGCAAGTTAAGAGGCCAGGCTGGACTACTTTGTCAATCCCTGTTTCAAAATAAAATGGTTTTACAGCACCCAAAGCTTGCTTTCCTCTCAGCTGCTGTTCCAGGTAAGCCAGTCCTATTCTCATTCATTTCACAACCACATAAAAAGTAAAATTTGGTTTGTATTAGCCAGAGTATACACAAGAGAATGGATTACTTCCTAAGTGGAACAGGCTCAGGGTCCCCCTGCAAAGGAGTAAAGTGTGGAGCAGAGGGTTTTTTTGCCTCCCACCACTCCTTGCGGATAACTTCCTTCTTACCGGGCACTCACTGTGCATGATGACCTTAGTGCCTCAGTTTATGCACTCCACTTGAAAGTGCTGGGACAGGTGCACAGGTCACTTTCAACCTTCACTTCAGGTGGAGATTCTGATATTCTTGTGAGGCCAAAACATATGGTAAAAGCAGCTTGAAATGTGAGGCTCGGTGTTAAGGTTTGTTCTTATATCTCCCTCCAAAACCTCAAGAGGTCATAGTGTGAGTGTTTGACACTGGGATGAATTCATGGTGCAATGGTAGGATCAAGGGCACTACGATTAAGGGTGTGAGTGCTACCTGCCCAATGTAGCCTGAATAAGGTATCAAGGATAGTAAGAAGTGTGGCCCACCCTTTTTACTTTGTTACCTTCTACTCACCTTCAACTCTCTTCTCTGTGATGCCTGTCTGCCATCCATCCTTCCTTGGAACCAGCTGTTTATGGACTGAAAACTGTCAGGTAAATAAGCCTTCCTTCCTCTAACTTTGGGTGTGCTTTGTCTCAAAAAGAGAAAAGTACCTAAGACACTCAGTATATCAATTCTCAGATCCACCAACTGAGGTTGCCCTGTTTCTAGCCAGTCTGAAGCACACATCAGTCTCCCTGCGATCACCTCCCACTGGGGGACAGGCAGTTCCTAAGACTCCAAGCTCCTTTGTCAGGTAATTTACATTGGGTTCTTCTAGCCTCGAACCACCTTCCTCCACTCTTGTCTCCCCTTTTCATTCATCCTTTCAGTCTCTCCTTGCATACCACAGATTTTCTTAAGTCACAGGTGCTTCTGGACCTCAAGCGTATGGTTAGCTACAACTCTTTTCTGTATTTCTCTCAGTAACACCATGAAACTTATTAAGAGCAGATGCCCCATTGACGCTGAGGGAATAAGCTGGTGGCCTTCAGCATCTAATTTATCATCATTGAGTCCTCTTTCTTGAATAAGCCAGACATACACACACACACAGTAACTTTTTTTTATTTATATACAGAGAAAATTGTTTACAAATCCAAATTTTAACTGCCAAAAACATTTCTTTTTCTCTATCCCATGTACTTTTTTGCTATTCTTCATATTCTGAAAGAAATGCTTATTCCAAATTCACCATATCAGTAATGATAATGAAGGTTTTCATCGTAATTTTACAAAATAAAACTTTTAAACTGATGAACAACCGTGAGAAAAATCTTTCATAAGCTTATAGTGTTAACAATACAAAAATTATATGTGTGTGTGTGTGCGCATGTGTGTGTGGGTGTAAATACAGATAAATCTCCAACACTGCCCATGTGAAATCGGAACACAAAAAAGTGCTACACTCTGCTCCCTACAGACACTGCCACCCTTCACTACTGGGAACACTGGCTGCTTTCTTCAATTCCAACCTGAACAATCTTCCTCACCTTCAGTAACTATAAGAAAAACTCTTCCCAAGGGAATGGAATACTATCGCTATCTGTGTCCTCAGTGCTGTCGCTGAGTGAAATGACGGCATCAGCTCTCTCTTTTTCATCTCTCAAAGCCTCTTCATACCTGGACTCGAAGGCGCTGGGCTCGGTATCATTGATCTTGGCCCAAAACTCCAGGACTTTCATCTTGCTGGTCTCAGCATAGGCTCTTGGGCCCCACAGGAATTCATACTGAGGAGGATTGCTACCAGGAACCCGGCGGTACTCCAGGTATTTCAGCTTCACCAGATCTTTTGTGATGAGCTTCCTGGGCTCCCCGAAAAGGAAGTGTCTCTTTCCATCGTATATTTTCATTTTATTCAGGAATTCCCAGATCTTCTCCTCAGTGGCAGAGTGGCCATTCATGAAGATCACTCCCAGGAGGTTCATCAAGAGACCGGTCTTCGGAAATCCCCTGTCACGACGCAGCATTCCATTGTAGGGGAGATTCATTTTGCTGACAAGGGCATAAGATGGCTTGGTGGCATCAACTTTCTTCAATTCCATGCCAAATACCACTTCTATGTTGAAAGAAGCTCTTCCCAGGAGTTCTGGGAAGCGTTTCTTATACTTTTTATCGATAATCTTCAACATAGACTTTTTCATAATAGGTTTTTGCATCTTGTACATTTCAATGATGAAGTTCACCAACTTGCTTGCTGCCTTGGTTAGTGCATCTTGGGGAGACTGTTTGCTGGAGTGTTGAAGCTGAGGGGAGCAGTGCTTTCTCTTACTTTTGCATTTGGTTCCTTCATTCGATCTCGGGTTTGGCATATCTGCCTCGGTTAGTGCATCTTCCGGAGACTGCTCGGTGGAGAGCTGAGGCTGAGGAGAGCAGTGCTTTCTCTTACTTTTGCATTTGGTTCCTTCATTCGATCTCGGGTTTGGCATATCTGTTGCTTCAGTGGCAGAAACTTCTCTCTGCGATCTCTCTGGAGGGCTTTGTGACTGAGAAGCAGAATCTGCGTGAGTGGTAACCTCCAAAGGAGTAGATGAGGAGCGTAATATTCTCTTCTCGGTAGTAGTAGCCTGTGCTTCCTGAATTACCTGGGTCTCCCCTTTGACAGGGTGGATTTTCTTAGGAGCAGCAGGCTTTCTCTTCTGCTTCCGAGGCATGATGAATGGGCAGGAGAGCTGGTGATCCAGGCACCTGGGGGAGAAAGAAAGACAGCATAAGCATCACTGGCTCAGAGATATCTCTGGCTTATGAAGAGGTCTCTGCAGCTTGGTCTGTCACCACTGCTGTAGGAAGCCTCAGGGTAGTTATTCTCATCAGCCTGTCCTCAGAAAGCCCAGTGGACATATGGAATTGTGCCCCAGGATACTCCTGAAGGGCCCCTTCCTGCGTGCACTGATGGTGAGAACAGAGGTGGCCGTTCTTGTTCTGAGAGCCCCCTTCTTCTCTGAGGTAGAGTCTTCTCTCGTCACACTACAGACCATAAAATCATGTTTTAGCAGTGGCTGCCCTCCTTCTCATGTACTGCAGTACCTGTGATACCTCCAAGCAAAATTTCCTTTCTGGAGACAACTTAGAGCAGTTTCAAATCCCTTCGGTCTATCACCTGAGGCAGGGGCACTCGTCAGAGCTCTGGCCAGTCTTCATGGACATGGGCGTGTTGAGGACCTCAGTCTTAACTCATGGTCCTTCCCGTGGGGAGGATATCACCTGGCAGAACACCCCATGCAGATCTGATGGCCCTCACCCCATTCATGGACATCATCAAAAGCTAATGATTTATCACACACGTGACCCCCACTGCTGGGTGCCCGAGGGGTACAAGACCTGGGCAGCTCTCTATCCTTTCTCCCTTTTTGAAGGGAGAGTAGTTCCACTGGTCAGTTTTAAGGACATCACAGAGACTCTTTGCAAGAGTGGTGAACATGCAGAGAATGTTGAAATTTTAAAACAAAATTATGTCTATACAGACTCCCACTAATCCCCCATCAAACTATTCCTCAATGTTTTTAGGTCAAACTTATTCTATCCTTTTCACCACTACCTGAAATAGTTCTGGAAATCCTGTTTCTTGTTATGAGGCACAATCGAAATGTAATGAACGCCGTGGCCCAGTGCCATCCAGTGTGAGGCAGAGGAGTGAGGGCAAGACAGCCTGTCAGTATCCACTGTATTCAGTGGATGTGGGGACTTGAGGGGCTTTGCTGGAGTCAGCAGAGCCAGGGCAATGTTTTGAATCCGGCTGGACATCCAGAACCCATGACAGCACAACTAAAGTGTATCCTTCCAAGAACTGCGCAAGTGTTTTCAATGACAGTGGCAGCATTTTGAGAGAGACCAACGGCAATATGTCCTTTCCTGTAAGAATTTTTAAAAATTATTTAAACTCACATTTTGTTCTTTTTATAACTGCTTGTATTAATAGGGCTGTCAGGTCTGGAATTTATAACATCTATGGTTACTGTGTGAAAAATCAAACCACAATATTTGAAGTTTCAAGTTGAAATCTGTAGGGTTGAAGAGGCAAGCTGGAAAATCAAGAAGGGTTCCAACACTGCCTACTTAAGGCTGAATTCCTTCTGCTCAAAACTTGTCTTTGCTTTTTGCTACATACGACTGATTGCATGGGGCCACCTATACCAATGGGAGGTAAGGCGCTTTATACTCAGAATCTAATGGTTTGATGGCAATCACATCTTAACCATTCCTCAGCCTTATCCACCACTGTACAGCATCTCTGATATTTACCCAATGACAGGGCACCACAGTCTTAAGAGGACATATAGAATTACAATTTAGAAATAGTACTGATGCGCTGGGGATACAGCTTAGTGGCACAAGTGCCTGCCTGGCAAGCACAAAACCTTGAGCTCAATTCTTTGTACAAAAAAAAAAAAAAAGAAAAGAAAGAAAAAGAAATAGTACTGATGATAGGGAGGTATCTAGACTTGGAAACCTGAGGTTGTCACTAAGTGGGACAAGAAACAGTGGAAGAAATTATAGTATGTTTGGGGAAAATAATGACTTATGTTTTTCACACTGAGTTTGAAAAAGTCTTTAAATAATTATGATTGAAATGGCTTGAAGGTGTTACATTTATGTCACAATGTGTTACAATGTGTCTCAAAGTTAGAATCACATAATTAATCCTTAGAACTGCAGGGCTAGGTGTTGGAGCTGTGTGGCTATAGTCATAGAGAGGAAAGGTTAGGAATCTAAATATGGGAATGTGCAGAACACACATGTGTTAATAGTTGAGAGGAGCAGAAATCTATAGAGGACATGGAGAAGAGTGTGATGCACAGAAGAACTAAGTCTAAGTAGTATCTTCAAAACTATGCAGTGATCAACAATTCCAGCTTAATATTGCAGATGTTTGGCATATGGACAACTCTGTATCTTGCAATCCTTCTACCTGAACAGGAACATATGATTAGTTCTAGGCAATAAAATGGGATGTGTGAGATGCTGGAACACCTATCGACCTGAGTTCCACGGAGATAACGTGCAGCAAATCCTTAAACCGCCCCCTCATTACTGGTACATATTGAACAGGTAATGCCATCCAGAAAATACACCTTTCTGTGATAAGATATTGATATTTGGGGATTAAACTGTCACCCAAGTGAAACATATAACTTCTTGACTAATGATAAATCTATAGGAGTAACCTGTTTAGCAAAGCAGTGCATAGTAACAGCAGTGCCATATACACTACATATCCAGAAGAGACACTACAAGGGATTCACAAACGTGGAATAACTCAGCCAACAGTTCCACATATTTTAGGGGTTTTCAGTTATAGTAGTTTCCTGGCATTCTGCACTGTCGCTTGGATTACACTAGGAAGTTGCATATCAGATCAAGAGAATAAAGAGTTAATTTAAACTGGAAATTGACACTGCAACATACATAAACAATGTAGTATATTTGTCTTATAATTTGACTTGAACCACTGTGAAGTTATAAAAGTCAATTGAGTTAGCCTGCCTTAAGGCACTGAGAATTTAAGAAATCCACTGAACTTTAGCTGTCTAGTAAATAGTAGATTCTAGGTATAAACAGCAAGTTATTACTTTTGGAATTCTCAGTTTTTAAGTACTACATTTGTCATTCTAGACGGCCTGAGATAAATATGCCCCATGAACTGTATAAAAGCTATGAAGTGTAAGTGATTTATCCACTGATGTACTGTTTTGTATTAACATGCCTCTTAGGCTATTGACTGTATCTGAAAACACAATACTATACACTGAGGAATTTGAGAAGAAGAGAGATTTATTTTAGCTTATCTTTGTACCTGAAAATCTAGGGTCCACATCTGCTTATTTCTTTTTGCCATTACAGTCCTAAGGCAGCACAGGGCATCACATGGCCAGAGACATGGAGCAGAAGCGTGTGTGTGTGTGTGTGTGTGTGTGTGTGTGTGTGTGTGTGCATATCCTCTGGCTTTCATCTGCTTTTACAGACCACCATAATACAGTCATGGAGGTTTCATTCCGTTGATTTTATCAAATCTACATCTCCTAAATTTCTCCTCTCCCAAGATCTCAGAATGGGGATTAAACTTCAGCATGCGAACCAAAAGGTGCTAAGCAGTCAAACCATGACATTTACTAATGCGGGGAGCGGGGGAGAAGTAGACTGTTGCTTTATCTTTAGATGTCCACATTTTTGTTGGTGAAATAACACATCATTTGACCACCTTTCATAAATTATTTATTTTTCCCACTCACTGGATTTCATAACATCTATAACTAGAATGTGCCGTGGCTTTTAACTTCTTTTAACATTTAAAAGTATGTTCCAGAGCGTATCTTGATTTACTATAATGATTTTTATGTGTTTTATATTTTTTGCTTGGTCTGTTAGTTTGGCTGTTAATCTGCATTTAAAACTTGATTAAGACATAAAAATAAATAAATCTGATGCTAAAAAAGAAATTATTTTAACTACTACTAATATTCTCTTCCTATGAAACACAAGCAAGAGTGTACAAAAGCTAAGGTATAAAAGTTTGGCAACCGTTGCTAGACATTAACACTTTTATTAGTTAACTTCTGCTCCTGAATTCACATCCCAAAACTCAGCAAGTTAACACTATTTGTTGTCAGTATTTCTATACCAGCCATGGTTCACACTATGAATCGGCTCAGTTCAGAGGATTCCTTTGAGCTTTTTTTAATGGTAGTGGCAAAAATTCAAGTACAACTTAATGGAGAAGCATATTGCCAACCTTTCCTTCAGTCACTACTGACAAAGCCAAGCCACATCACCGACCCCAAAGTTTATGAATGGGAAGTACAATCTGCTCATGATATGGCTATGAGAAGAACTGAGACGCAGAGAAGTCTGAAAAGTTTGGGTTAGTAATGCAATCCCTCATTGTGTATTTTCATCACTAAAAGTGTCATCTGTATATTCATATATGTCTTGGTTTATGTTCATCTTTTACACATACAATCTATATTTTCCTTAGGCCGGGGATAGAGTTCAGAGGCAGAGCACCTGCCTGGCAAATGCAAGGTCATGAGTTTGATTGGCGGTACCACAAAAAAAAAAAAAAAAGAAAAGTAAGCAATCTATATTTTCCTTGATATCACCATGTACCTTTGCATCCAGATTAAAATGTTATTTATCCTCTTGGGTCAAGCAGGAAACAGGGCTCTTTCACCGTGTCCCCTAGCCATTTGTATTACCAGTGGTAGGACCTACATGGCTCCACAGATGTGCCGAGCAGCAGCAGGCTCTTCATGCTTTGATTTTCTGCTAGGTTTGGGCTTTGGTTCATGCTTGACCGGCAGAAATATGTTTATATACTAAACTTTGTTTGTATCTCTTGTTATTATCTTAGGCTAAATTTCTATTTTGAACACTGCCTGAAAAACTGTTAAAGATATTTTATAAAAACTCTTTATACATAGTGATAAACTCAATTTATCCTTTCACTAGGATTAGGTGTATTTATTTAAAAGTATTTGTGGGCCTGGGGATTTAGCTCTGAGGAACAGAGCTTGCCCGGCAAGCACAAGGTTGTGAGTTCGATTCCCGGTACCAGAAAAAAAACGAAAAAAAAAAAAGTATTTGCATTTTTATGCAAGAAATGATACAGTTTTTATCTTTTTTTAATGTAGTTGAACTTTTCTTTTCTTTGTTTTTTTTGGCTTTTTGAGACAAGGTATTGCTATACAGTTCAGGCTGGCCTTGAGCTCACTTTGTAGCCCAGGCTGGCCTCGAACTTACAACAATCCTCCTGCCTCAGCCTCCTGAGTGCTGAGATTACAGGCATGTGCCACCACCACTGGCATGAACTTTTCAAAATACTTTTGTCCATTAAAAATTCGTTCCTACTCTCCCTTCTTCCTTTATAAATTCATGCACACACATAGTAAAACTTTCATTTCTTGGCACTTTGCAATTTGCAGCAGGATTATTTGAATAATTACATAATAAAGGTTTAGAGCCAGTGTGGGAGTCTTCTGTGCTCATGAGGCTGATAGAAAAAGAATGAACTTCTCTACTGTATTATTGCTGAATTGTGCTAGATATGTGTTGATAATTATGAATGATATTGAAAACCTTACTGTCTTATTGTTCACTGGGAAAAATGAGCCTACACTTTGAGGAACAAACAAATTCTAGGCCAGAATCTTTCCAGGAAAATAGCATGTAATCTGCACTTATAATCTTAAAGTATCTATTACCCACATTTAAAAGGAGAAACGTGCACCAATAATTCTAACATACTAGTTTTAAGATATGGTAGACATCCAAATTTTTATGAAGTATGTGAAACAAGAAATATACTCTATCCTTACAATACATTTAAGATCACTTACAAGAGCTTAATAAGCGGCTCACTTGTGGTCTCAGTAATGGAAGCCTTAAGGTCTAGATCATATTCTGAACACCTGAAAGAATCGCAATAAAAAGGACAATACATGAATTAAAATTCTGTGTTTTTACAGCATGCGTAGCATATAGAGTATTAGAGAAGGCACAAAAGTATACTGAATATAAACTTCCGGAATAAACAATCCTAATTTAGAAAATAATTAGGATGTCAAGCTGCATAACATATATTTCCTTTTATATCACTTTATGTGTTGTGCCATTTGCTTAATAATTTTTAAAAACATTCAGGAAAAGGATCAAAAATTCTCAAGAGAGATTATAATAATTTCATTCCACTCTCCACATTTCAGTAACTTGTTCTTTAGTCACATATCATAGCAAAAAAGACATACACTACTAAAATGTGAAATGATATATTTTCCTAACTGTATACAGTAATAGAAAAACTTGTTTGCCACAGTATATGTTATGTATGATGCCACTGCACAAACAGTTTTGCAGGAACTTTGGGTGAGTTAATATATTTTATATTATTTTGCTATTATATTAATTGCTTTACCTTCTTTCACAAGATAAAATATGTAAACAAGAGTGGAGGAATCAAAACAATACTAGCCTGTTTCCTCCTACCTCTCAGAGATGACAAACTTTTCACAGATTGAGGAATGCACTGATAGGTGAGTTAGTTCATTTGGACAGGAAGTAATTATGGTGGGTCACTGAGCTTAGATTTGGCAAGTTTTTTTCCATGTCCTCACCAACAGAGCCTTAAGTAGCTAAGTTAATGACTGTTTCATATCCAGTCTCCAATCTAGTGATGTTAGCCTTCCTGCTATTTGCCATCTGTTGCAATGGCTTAAATGGATATGAAAACCAGGAGGAAAATACTGCAGATGAGACAAGCAAGGGCCTGAATCACTGAAATGGCACAGAAATAATAAAGAAAGGGCAGCTTACAAACGATAGTTTTGAAGTGTTGATAAATCTTTACAATACTGTTATGTGTTTTCTTTCTACTCTTTGACCAAAGCATAAACTAAACTTTGCAAAGTTATAGAGTTAAAAATGTACTTTATCTCCAAATCTTTAATATAGAAGAACTGCTTCTAGTCCAGACTCACGCAGTTCAGTGGTGGTGAACCTATGGCATGTGTGCTATAGCCAGCTATTTGTCATCACTGAAAGTACTAAAAAGTTAAAAAGTTCGCTAGTGCTGGACTAAGTTCTGTGTCACACCAGAAAGAACAGAAGTAACAACCACTGGTCAAATACACAAAAGAATGTGTTTAAGACACTAGGCTGTCAAGAAGGAATGACAGCAATATCTGGAGTAAGGGGAAAAAAGAAAGACCTACTTTATCCAGATTTGAAAGAGAACTAAACACACATCTCTGAGATGCTGAAAGAGCTCTCAAGCAAAATAAGCGTAAAGAAAATTACAGGACATCTAGTAGTCAAATTGGTGAAGTGACAGAAAACATTCCATACCTTTCAGTTAGAAGAAACAGTTGGCTGTAGCACACATGCCACAGATGAGCTGCAACTGGAACCTTAGAGGTTCTAACAAAATCTTCACAATATGCTGATGAAAGACACTTCAGAGGAACAAACTTGAAAATGATAGATTTCCTTTTTAAAAACAATATAAAGTAGAAGATTATGTTAAAACCTACAAATTACTGGAAGAGCTAAAAAGCTTAATCTACAATTTAGGAGCCAGCGAGTATACCTCCAAAAACAATGGAGAAGTAGAGTTTATTTTTTAAAATATAAAACCTGAAAAGATTCACCACCAGCAGAGATTTACTATAGCAAATGTTTGGAAGTGTGAGCAATTTAGGAGGCTGAGGCAGGAGGATTGCCTGCTCAAAGCAAGCCTGGGCAATGCAACCAGAATCAACCTAAACATTTTCTTAAAAGTTAAAAGTGAAGGAAAGTAGCTTCCTGGGTTCAATCTCTACTACTAGAAAAATATTAAATAAACATATGTTAAAGTAACATATTGGATAATAGCACAAAAAATGAGAGGATACAAATGGAAGTATACTCCAGTGTCTCCTCTATTAGACTTTTCTCTGCTCCAATAAGTTTGGCCAGATTGTTCCCATTACCTGAGAATGTGCTCGTCAGACGAGCTCATACATGCCAGGCCTTGAGAACAAATCATTTAATGTGAATATATGGTGACTGCAAGTGGCACTGCAAATACAGACACAAATTATTTTCCTCTGTTCTTTGAAGCAAGAACTCATACCAGGACATCTCAAGTGTATCATATTAAAGGGAAAGAAGCTACAAAACACTAGCTGATTTAGATGAAATGCAGAAAAGTGGGTGAACATGACCGAGGAGGATAGTTTGACATGTGGGAAAAGACAACAGATGAAAGTAGAGCAAGGTAGGCTGCTTACACGTGTTGAAGAATTGTACACGTGGGTATGAACTAAGATTATCCCTCATGTGAGAAACTGCAAGAGGAAATATGGTGCAAAATGTGCAATTGATATTGTGAAATGGGAAGAAATTATTTAAAAGGAAAAAGAAACTCGGAAGAAAGAAGAAAGGAAGGAAGGGAAAAGAAAAAAAATACAAGATAGTTATACTACTAGTCTCTCTTAGTTCATGGAAAAGAAAGATTTGTGCTAATATTGTTTGGAGAATTTTTTATGCCCGTATCTGGTACTATGAATAACTACTTTAAAGATAATATTAAGCAATGTGTTAACTATTGTTACTGTCCTATTATTTTGTTGTGAAATTTTGTTTTACTTTTTTTCCATAAAATAAAAAAAAAGATTTTCAAAGGAAAGAAAACACAGGTAATAAAAACCAGAAATTACCTCAAGGTCGTACACGTAAGAAATGTACCAGGTAGTGAGAGATGCAGACATTACTATCCATCAGGAGAGTTTGAAACAGGGCAGGAAAGGGCAGACAGCCATGGATGGGGTCATCTAGAAGAAGCAGTATGTGAGAAGAATCTGGAGGACTGTGAGTTAAAGACAGCGGAGCCACACCTGTGCTGAAAATAGAGACTAGATGTGTGGACAGGACAGAGTGGGCCTATGCATGCTCACGTGGGACTGGGGTAGGCAGAGGGAATGTAAAGCAAGAGATGAGATGGCAAGGTTCACCGTGAGTGCTGGTTTAGGCCACATCACTACAGCGCTGGAAAACTTGGAAGGAAGCGGTGCGAGCATCTTTGAGAACTAGGGTCTCCTCTTGGGCCCTGAGGGGTTTCTCCTGAGTGCAGAGCTTACCCTTTTATCCACCGAGCACAGCAGCTATGGTCAGAAACAGCAGCAGGAATGTGGGTGTGATGCCAGGAGATTGGGTTACCTGGAGTGGGGACAATGAGACACGATGAGAATCTGCAAAAGGAAAATACGATTGTGATTTTAAACATGGCTTCTCTACTGGATTCCGTGAGGGCACTGTTGTAGGAATGCACAGGTATCTGTTCCCTTGGGCATTCTGTCCTGTAAGAATCTCAGACGATCCTGTTAAAAACATATGGTGAGTCTTACTCTACAACCTTTCATTCCCACCTTGGTCTAACTGGGGTTACAGTACATGCTGGCCTCCTGGCAGTGAGATCTCCTGCCTTCTGTGGTCTGATATCATGTACATTTTCCACATAATCACAGTCACTCTTTGCAATACTGGGGGTACTTGATGATGCTATTCTGAAGTTGACACTAAGAGTTGCTAGGTACCCAGGGGAAAAACTTAAAGGAACTATCAGTCTACTGCCCTGCCAAAGGACAGTGTGGAGAATTAAGTGTGCTCAGTCTTCCTGGGCTCAGTCTTTCTGAATCCCTGTAATTTGGCTCCATATAAGCTTGGTACTAAACCTCCTTCTGTCCTTTGGTGGGTACACTGTTACCCTAAAATGTTTACCTCTTTTTAGCACCAAAAAATGGAGAGAGGTTGACACAGGACTCCAAGATCTAGAACAACTGAGCTATTGAGGAATTTAGTGATACCTTGTCTTAAATTTAAAAAAGAAGGCCTGTGCTCTTGTTTAAATCCTCAAGTCTGCAAGTAACAATTGCACTTACATACAGGGGAAGGAGGAAGGGGAGGGAGAGGGGGAGGGGCAGCGAGAGGGGGCAAGGGGAGGGTCAGAGAGACAGAGAGAGACCCAACCTGACAGTCATTCCTTGTGCTTTCTGTGGCTGAAGGTCCTGGTAATAACGGTTGCCTCAGTATGGCATCATGTCCAGGACTCATAGTCTCTCCTTTCTGGTATACTTTCCCGCATCACTGTCTCATTGTTCCTCTTGCTATGTCCTGCACCCCGAGTTACTTAGGCATAGTCTAGTAGGCTAGAGGAGTCCTCTTCCTGAGAACAACCTAGACAATCAGGAGAGGTCATCTCAGTCTCTACTGTGACCCTCCAATTGCTAACAAAAGAGATGGGGCTTAGCTCTAGGCCTGAATTACTTCTGATGATTGCAATTTCTAGTCCAGTCTCATCAACATAGAGAATAAGGGAGACCAAATAATGTGTTAAAATACAAAATGAATGTTCTGAGAGTGGAATTGGGGTTATCCCCTGGATTCAATGCCCACATTGGAGGAAAAAAGAAAAAAAAAAAAAAGGAAAAGAAAATATAAGACTCAGGTCTTTCTTACAGGCTCAGTCACAGTTGCTTACTAAAAGCAAGGCACTCTTTAACCTGAGTTTTTCTTGGAAAATCTTCATCCCATAGCACTACCTGGGTAAGTGGGTTATACCCGCCCCCCGCCTGCCCCGCCTGCAGGCGCCATTTCTTTCTCCGCTCAGCGGACTTGAACACGGGGTCTTGGCACGGGGCTTCCTCCACAGCCCTTCTCATTTGGAATTTTGAAACAGAGCCTTGCTAAAACCCTAATTTCCCCTCTTGACTTTGAAATTGAAGCCCTGCCTCAGCCTCTGAGTTTGACGAGTTAGTCCTGAACTACACAACCACCCCAGAGCCCCGTTGATTATGAGGGAAAGAACCTCTTCAGTCCACACTTCGGAACCCAAATTTGACCCCAGACCCACCCTAGAAGTTCACCTTGAGCTACAGAAAGCAGGACGCCGAGTCACTCAGGCCGCGGAAGAGCGGAGCTCCAGCTATGGACAACGGAAGTGAAGATGATCCACATCCGGGTACACATGTCCAGGGTCTCCAGCGCTATCATCAGGAGAAAGTCCTTAAAGGGACCGCACTGTTCTAGAGTTGCGCAGCACTCTATATGCCCTGATATGCAGCGGAGTCTGGAATTCCTCGTCCACACTGGTGAGTCACAGACCCTCTAATCCAAGTCCATATTCCCCTCCGTCACTGAAGAAAGCCATGCATACCCGCGGGCTCCCTCTACCCCAACATCAAAAGAGGCAGAGCAGGGGCGGGACTTTACGAGCCTCCATATTTGGGCACAGGTCAGCTCTGTATTAGGCAGGATCTGCACTTTGAACATAGTTTGATCCGAAACCTTTCTTTTGTCAACTAGGACCATGCCCATCACAGGCCGGTACTCTGTATTCTAAGACCACCACGTGGAAAGAGTGGGAAGGCTTCGCTGTGAGGATCTTTCTGCTAGCAGGCATCTCTCATAATCCCTGCATTCCTCTTTTTTTTTTTTTCTCTCACCGAAATTTGAACTCAGGACCTTGCGCTTGCCAGGTGAGCACTGTGCCGCTGAGCTACATCCCCAGCCCTGGATTCCTTTTTCAATCCTTATTTGATTCTAGGCAAAACTGATGCTATCTATAGCAGACTTGGTGCTATTGACCATGAGTCCTTTCCGGCAGTCAGCAGACTGAGATTTCTGCTCGGGGCTTCCTAGGGCAGACAGAACGGGCCACTTATGAGCTGTCCTTTGCTTGGTTCTTGTCAGAGTGAAAGCTACATTTAGTCCACGTTTAGGTGCTCAGTAGAGAAATGACGAGTCCTGTGACTCTGCATCTTATTTCTCTGAACCTTCTCATTTTACGGTGAGTTCGTGCCTCTGAGAATAACATGTTGGAAGTCAGGGGTTTTTTTTGTTTGCTTTTATTTTTTTTTTTTTGTTTTTTGTTTGTTTGTTTGTTTGGTAGTTTTGAGACAGGTTTTGCTATGTAGTTCAGGCTGGCCTTGAGGTCACTTTGTAACCCAGGCTGGTCTCGAACTCCCAGCGATCTTCCTGCCTCGGCCTCGCCAGTGCTGGGATTACACATGTGCGCCACCACGTGGACTGGAAGTCAGGTCTTTCTGTGGCCACAGTCTTTTGCGGACTTAGAAGAATAGACAGCAGCCAGGTGTGGTGGCGCACACTTGAAATCCCAGCACTGGCGAGGCTGAGGCAGGAGGATCTCTGTGAGTTCCAGGCCAGCCGTGGCTACAAAGTGACCTCAAGACCAAGCGGAACTGCATAGCAAGACCCTGGCTCACAAAAAAAAAAAAAAAAAAAAAAAAAGAAACAGTAGACAACTAGAACGGGACACTATTGGACTAGATGTTCTGGCTGAGGTCCTCTATGATTTCTCATTCCCAGTCCTAACATTCACTCTGTTACAATTTGATATCTTTGCCCCACTAAACTGAAGCCACTCTCCTAAAGGCTCTGGATGAATCCTATATTTGTTAGTGCTTGTTTGCCCAGTCATTCAAAGGGGTCTTCATCTTGAGTGCTTCATTTTACTCCTCTCCATGGAGTGAAATGGAGATTCCTTGTCTTTGCGTAAAGCTGCCCAGCTTCTGCTTTCAGACTTCAAGGAAGGGATCACTGTTACAGGACTGCTTTGAGAAACTGCAACAGGAGCAGGGAGCTGAGTTGCTGAGGTGATAAAGCTAACATTTTGTTCCAAATTGATGTGGAAGTGGTAGGGTCAATGGAAAGTGAAAAATATTCTCAGAATTCATAAAGAATTGCAACCAATCACATTTTAACAGTAGAATCACCTTACCCAATACATTGAAAAAATGAATGAAATTGTACATTATTCCTCTGAGGACATATTTACTTTCTCCCTCACTTTATTGTCTTTTGGATAGACAGAAACAGATATTTCTAACCAGTTGTGTTTTTTGTGTGTGCCTCTTTAATTCAAATTACATTTTAAATAATCTTGAAAAACTGCAATAATCATACTTTTGAAAGAGAAGAAAAATGTGAGTATAAAAAGAGGGAAACCTGTTAATATGTAAATATATCACTGTCAGGCTCTTGAGAATCAATCTTCTGCCCGCTAATATTTGTAATCATATGATAGTTCTTTGTTAAATTTATATAATCGCTTTCTTCATTTATGTTGTGTTTCCTGTTGACCTTTTAAAGTAAACTGTTCTTGTCTCTACCAACACAATTTCTGCTTTAAATTTGTCTGTGGTCTTGTGGTTTAAGTGAATAGTAGGGAGACAGATTATTAAGGCTTATTTCTAGATGTCCCTGTGGAGTCTCTGGAGCTCATATGTGGTGCTTTTCAGAGATTTGATTAAGGGTGTGTGAATAGGGACTGAGTGTTTGTAACTATGGGTTAAGTGTGTGTGATAAGTAAATCAGGTCACTGATTGGCTTAGCATGGTTCTGGATGTGGATACTGGGAAGGCCTATGCTGGGCTTGGGGCAATGCGCAATAGGCTTGTGAACTAGGTTGGATAACAGAGAGAAGAAGGCTCCATTCTGTTTCGTGGTTTCTCCTGCTAGCCACGCCAGGCACTGTTTCTGTGCGCAGCTGCCTTGCCTGAAAGCCCGCTGGATAGGGACTGAAACCTTCACAACTGACCTGTGGGCTCAGAGAAGCTTTCCTCCTTTAACTTTGTGTGTCTGGTATTGTGCCTCAGCAAGCAGAAAAGTGAAATAGGGACAAAAAAGAACCTTAGAGAAGTAAAAAGAATGAGCAGATTTTATGTACATATGTCAGCTCCCCAGCATGTGCATAATCGTTATATACTAGAAAGAAGTACAAATAAAAAATATAAAAAATTAATGTGAATTTGAAGTTTTCATCTACACGGTAAAATGGTAAAAAAAAAAAAATAGGTAAGGGACAGAACCTGGGGTAGAACATGCTTTGTCAGAGGAAGAACTCATGGATCTAATTTTCTTTGCAAATCAGAGGTTGGGAAGAGTTCTAAGACATTTAGGTCCTGTGGGCCTCCCAGTGTTCTGCAGTGGGCAGATCCCTTTATATTTATCTTCAAGTGTGTCACGCAAACTCTTGACAGGACCTGGGCCTCCTCCTCTTTGTGCTCCGGAGGTTGATACTTTAAAACTCTGTAGATCCCACAGTAGGGAACCACAAAAGTGCCTGCATGAACCAGTTCTGCCTGGGAACATGAATTCTGACAGCTCAGCAGAGTCCGCCTTCAGGCACTGCTCCAGTCCTGGCTCCTGACTCAGGGTCCTCATCTGGGCACATAGAGCCCGACAGTCTCTCCCTCCTGCTGACTGATGGCTGGAACTTCAGACTTGTGGTCTCCCCTCCTCTGCACCTCATGGAAAATGTGAGGGGCTTTCGTGAAAGAAAGATTTCACAGTTAGGAATTCACAAATTTCAAACTTTTCTTTGAGCAATATATCCTCAAGAGAGAGAGAGAACATACAAAATACAGTGGGAGAAAATATTTTCACAGAACATATTTATAAGTAGCCTATGCTCCTAGAATACAGCAAGTTCTCCCTGTTTAGAAATGAACAAATCAGGAACACAATGGCAAAGAACTGTGAAAAATTTCACCAAAATTCATAAAATATTCAATAAGCACATGAGAATTCGTGCAGCCTCACATGTCACTTGTTAACTTCCACTGAAAGCAGAAATTTGATACCATCATGCACCCATTCAGATAGCTAAAAGCCAAACTACTGAGCACAACAAATGCTGAACTTGAATTGGGCTTTTTGACTTCCTGGAGGATGTCAGCAACAGGTGACCTCTGGGAGCACCCCGTACACAGGAGAAGAGGGTGAGCGGGTCTCTTCCTCTTTTTGTGCAGAATATTGAGCACATGTGAGACACTGGATCTCACACTGGGCCTGGCAGGGATTGCACCATACATGAAGCACACAGTCCTGCGTCATGCTAGGCTGAGAGCATGTGATGAGCTATAGTGGGCAGGCTTGTTACCCAGTGTAATGCAGTTAATGCAGGGGCCATCGAATTCAGGCATCTGGCTGCCATGTCAGTATAATCCTCCCGAATTACTGATTTTGATGTGTAATAACAAATCACAACAAGGACACTTTAGAATTTTCTTTCATCATGTGTTAGAGAAATTGCTTACTTTTTTATCATGGAAAAATATTTGGAAACATTCACCAGGGAAGGAAACTAGTAAGTGAATTTTAATAGTAGATTTATTCTAATTTGTCAAAACCAGGCAACATTGAAGATGTCCTGTAGTGTGGGAATAGGTCAGTAGCCTGTGGCACATCCAGACAATGGAACTGTGTTCTGCAGCAAGAGTAAACCCTCCCTTGAAACATGCAAGGACGTAGAGGAACTGTACATGCCTATTGCCATGTGAAGGAGGAAATTTGAATTGTGTACATAGCAAATAATCTCTATGACATGGATGGGTAAAGCGTAGCTACGGAAGATCTAAGAGACATCAGTGGCTGTCAGGGATTTCAGGGAATGAAGACATCAATGAGTGGACCACAGAAGTTTTAAGAATAGTAAAACAAGCATGTGTGAATGTCTCAGTGTACACGTTATTATATAATTGTGAAAATTAATGTCCATATGACACAAAGAAGCTTCCCCAGTATAAACCAATCTCTGTACCACTCAAAGAAGCTGCATGAGTATAAACCATAAAATGCAGTTATCATGACATGCAAATATAGGTTCATTAGCTGGCCATAATATAGCACTCTGATGTTGGATGTTGATATGGGAAGGTTGGTTGGGCAGGTTGATTTGATAGACGGTATATTTAAAAACTCCCAGCACTTTCTGATCAGTGTTGCTGTGAACTGCAAACATTTAAAAATGAAAGTAATTGTAAAATCCATGGTAATTTCTCAATCTCCCTTATTGTCTTCCATTTTATGTGTTCAGTAGAGGCTGCCAGTGTGAGCTTTTCATTCTGTTCAGATTGGGCTGTTTCCTTCGTCCTCCCATGGTTCACTTGATTTGACTCCTCCTA